TTGGTGTGTGTATTTATCACATATTGATGTTATTATATGCTAAGTTTTGTAGTTTTACAAACATTGTTGTGGTTTTGTAGCTTTTGTGTTTTTTTTTATCATTACGGTCATAACGAAAAATCCGATGCTTAAAAACAACAAATATAACACAATCAATGATGTAAGAAAATAAGTATAAATAATTATTATCAATCATGTATAATATGTTAAAAAAATGCAATATAATATTATCAAAATTTTCAATTATGAATATACGGTACGATTTTTAACATTACACAACAGGACTATAAATAAGCATCAAAACACATTTATACTACCCTTATAACTTTAAAACTATGCTATAGTAAGATAAAAATTTTTTTAAACTATTTTAGAATAGTTAAAAAAAAAGAGTTTTGGGGAAAATATAAATAAATCACACTCATAAATGGAAATAGCCTAACTTATCAAATTTAAAAAAGTTTTGATGTTTTTTAATTAACTTGTTTCAAGTGTTTAACACGTACCAAGACTAAGCTTAATAGACATTGTGATCTTAAATATTAAAAAAACTGTAAATATATAAATAAGTAGTTTTGACCTAGAAAATAAATTTTAAAACTTAATAAAATAATAATCAAGCTAAAACTTCAATTAAAAAGGTTAAAAAAAATTAAAAAGAGAAGTAATTTTTATTATTTTTTAATTTGAAAATAAACTTGCTATGCTTTAATAAATTTAAGAAAAAATGAGTTTAAAAAAATTTAATGTATTTCTTTTTTAATATAACATCTCAAACTTGATTCCAAAGGCTTCAACACATACATCGACTATCTTATAGTCTGCTGCAGAAAGGGAGTGCCGCTACATCAACTGAGGGTTTGGCATTGGGATAGCAATCTTTTTTTTTTATTATTTTATAAGTATATAAAATAATAATAATAATAATATATATATATATATATATATATATATATATATATATATATATATATATATATATACAGCAGGTGGTTATATATATATATAAAAATCCAGACATACTTTCAAGAGCAAATACTACCATAGTTTTTTTAAGGTTTTTAGAGATTAGATAAAAATATCATTAAATAAACTTTTTAGTTATTTTAATTAAGTTTGTCTTCAACCAGTCTGTTTCTTAGGATTTGACCAACTCTAAGATGAGTTGACCCAAAAAGTAAAAATACAAGGTTAAGGTCAATTTTTTTCGACAAAGCTTTATTCTAGTTTGTAGTTGCTTCACGTCTTTTGTTTGCCAGTTACCCTCATACACTTTGCCTTTTAAAATTGCTCAAAAGTTTTCGATTGGGTGACACTCTGGTATGGCTGGCGGATTGTCAACTTTTTTGACAAAGTTAATGTTATGAGTCTCATTACGGTTTTGGCATATTGCAATGAGGCCAGATCCATACAAAATACATAATTATCATTGACGTAATGAGCATTGATGAACAGCACTAATCTTCCCTTAGTACAATCCATTTCGTATATGGCTTTACTGACCGGATGGCTACTGGGGGTAAAAAATGGCTTGAAAATACCTTTGTCAGAAGCAGCCAGCCAGACCAGCAGCTTTGGTTCAAACTTGAACTTTTTGCAAAATTTAATGCTCTGTGCAGTCTCTGTTGCTAGAGTAGTAGATGCTGTTTCCGTTAATCGTTGAGTGCGACAGTGTGAAGTAAGACTCGTTGTCAAGGATGACTAATTTTCCTTGAAAATCGCAATAATGAAAATCAAATGAATTTGTTCAGCTTTGAAGTAATATACTGTGAACTTTTTACCTTGCAATTTATTATCCAAATAGAAGTTGTAAATCCGTTTTCTTATCTCTTCCTGCTTGGACTATTTTGTTATCTCTTATTTTTCATTAATCTAAAAACAAGGAAATTAACTTACAGAGAATTAAATAAGCTTTAAAATTGATATAAGAATGAAAAAAAAAGTTTAGCTTGTGGCAGTTAAAAGTCAGTTTAAGTTAGTCCGGATTTTAAGTAACCACCTGTTATATATATATATATATATATATATATATATATATATATATATATATATATATATATATATATATATATATATATATATATATATGTTTTAGGTGACAGAAATTCGTGTTAAGTATTTTGATACCATACCTGTAGCATCAGCACTGTGTGTTCTTAAAACTGGATTCCTTTTTGCTGCTTCAGAGTTTGGAAACCAGTATGTTCATTTTATACTTTCTTCTATCCAAATAATGAGTTATTAAGTGCAAAAGTTCTCTAATTTATTATTTATGAGTTTATTTATTAGTTTTATTATTTTTACTTTGGTATTTATTAGTTGAGTTCTTTTATTAAATCTCTAGTGCATTGTATCAAATTACTCATCTCGGTGATGACGATGAAGAGCCAGAGTTTTCTTCTTTGATGGCAACAGAGTTAGATGAAGGTGAAACCTTTTTCTTTCATGCTCGTGACTTGCAGAATTTAGTCCTGGTTGATGAAATGGAAAGCTTAGCACCAATAATGCATTGCCAAGTAATTTTTAACTCAAATAACAGATTTATTTTTTAAAATATTCTTTGTAATAAAATGTCAAGTCAAATATTTTTTTTTACTATTATATAAAAATTAATTTTATCATAAGGTAGCAGATTTAGCTAATGAAGATACTCCTCAGCTCTATGCTGCATGTGGTCGAGGACCTCGTTCATCACTTAGGGTTTTACGTCATGGTTTAGAGGTATGTTTTATGAAAATTGAATTTTTTAAGTTATTGCAAAATTCATTTATCACTTCATATTTCCTAAAATCTCAAAATTTTATCAATTTTTTATCTTACAGGTTTCTGAAATGGCTGTTTCAGAACTACCAGGAAACCCTAATAGTGTTTGGACTGTTAAAAAAAATTCTACTGGTAATTTTATTTTGTGATTAAAAACTTTATTTTCTAGCATTATGTTTCGTTATCTTTTTTGAGTAAATAAATGCTAATGATATAGTTCTTTAAGAGACTTAAAAAAAGCTTATATATATATATATATATATATATATATATATATATATATATATATATATATATATATAGATACATACATACATACATACATACATACATACATACATACATACATACATACATACATACATACATACATACATACATATATATATATATATATATATATATATATATATATATATATATATATATATATATATATATTATTGTTAAATATATTTCTATTATCCTTAAATTAGTTATTAATATATTATTTTTACTTTTATTTATTTTTGATTTATGTTTTTTTTGTTTTTATTTATAATATATTTATATTATAAATATTAGATATAATTTTTATACAATTTTCTTTTTAATTTTTATTTTCAATTTAAAACTATTCTTCTTCTTTTTGGTTCACTGTTAGTGATATAATATTACTTAGTATTCTGTTGTTTTATTATTATAACTATTATTTTATTTTAGTTTGTTCATTAATACTGCCTAATTTATGACAAATATTATTACAATAATACTATTATTATAATTTTTGCTATTATAATTACTTTTTATAATATTAAATCTTTATTATTCTTTATTGTTATTTTCAATATTATTTTCTTTTTTTTCCTTTAAAACTTACCAACTTCAAGCTTAAACATGGCAAGTTTTCTTTTTTTATCTTTCTCCTTAGCTTTACTTTACCTCCAATTTTCACAAAGTATGCACTGCATGTACAAAAAAAGTTAGTATAAGTTGCAGAGCAATTCAATGTGATGTGTGTTTTGTTTTGGACTCATAAAAAAATGCAAAAAGCTTTATGATCATAGGTAAAATTAAACACAGTCAAAACGCTCAACATGGTTGTGTATAAAATGTTTTTCCATTTCATTTCTTTCCATTTACATTTGTATCTGAATTTAAATTACTCTACTCTTCTAATAAAATTACTATAACTGATGACTTTATCATTCCCTTCGGTATCAGGATTGAATAAAATTTATACTCAAATTAATTATTTTATCACATGCTTCAGTTTCTGATGAGTAAAACTGTTTGTCTTTTGATGTAGATTGCCAATCTTATGACATTAATATATTTTTTTCTCATAACTTTGATATCATAATCTCTATGTCCTTCCACACATCTAATTATTATTCAAAGCACACACCAAACAAATCTTTTTGTTGTGGAACTTAGTTATATCTATCAAAAAAAAAACTGATTTGTAAAAGGAGAGATGATTTGATCATATACACACCAAACTAATCTGCTTTTGTTGAAATAATTTTTTCCAAAAGTGATTTTAACATGGATCTGGTACAGTCAAACTCTGACTTTGCAACTTCTGAGTTTTTAATTTACTTCTTATAATTTTCGGCCATTCGATACCAACGAGAGTTCATAACTATTCTGTGACAATCATTGACAATATCTTTTTAAATGTAACCACTAACCAAATTATTTCAGGAAGTCTAACAACTTTTTCTGATCATATATCTTGATTTCTTATTTGTCCTAATTTCAACTAGTTATTTATACCACACAGTCATAATTTATACCACAGGAGCTTTAAAAGTTGTAATAAAGAATCATTTAAATTTGAATTATTCAAAGTTGACTGGAATGATGCTACCAATATAAACTATATTAACTCCAGCTTTGAAGTATTTATTTTTCAAACAACATTGTTGTTAGTCTGTCATATGCCACTCAAAAAAATTAGTATTAGGAGCTACAAGCATCAATTCAAGCTATGGATTACTAAAGGAATAATAAAATCGAAATCTTATTCAAGGGAATATGTCAAGAATAATGAAATTCGAAATCTTATTCAAGGGATGTTAAGAATAAATGATCCAATAAACATGAATAAACTAAAATCTATCTTTAAACACAATAAATATACCATAATTGATCTAATTAAATTGAGTAAGAAAATACATTTCAAAAAATTCTTTTCAGAAAATGTAAAAAAATCTTCATGACACTTGGAAAGGTATAAAAAGTCTAATAAATGTAAAAAATATCAATATTGTACCTTTAATTTGCTTACAAGTTAACAAAACATAATAACTGAGCCAACTCTTATCTGCAAAAAATTTAACAACTTGTTCACAAATGTTACTCATGGACTTAGTTCTAAAGTTCGCTAATCTTACATTAGCTATGATAAGTATCTTAAGCATCCAAATCTTCATAGTTTACTGATATTTCCAACAAATCATTCTGAAATCTCGTCCTTTATATCTAAATTAAAACCTAGAAAATCAATAGGTCCTAACAGCATCCTCACAAACAATCTTATTGGTTTTAATTCTGATTTTTTCATATTCTCTCTAAGCTACTTAGTATCTCCTTAAATGGAATTTTTCCTGATATTTTGAAATTATTTTGTGTCATTCGAATATATAAAAAGCTTCTTAAAAAACCAATGTATCTAGATTATACTCATTTTTGAGTTTCTTTAATTTTTTAAATAAATTTCTGTTTGGATTTCGATCAAAAATTGTACTTGCCACGCTTTAATAAGCGTTGTAATTTTTTATTTTTTATAACCGGAAAAGTTAAAAAAGTACTGGATACTGGTCATTTTGTTGGTCATGTTTTTACCGAATTACAAAAAGCTTTTGATACTGTTAATCATACCATTTTAATTAACTTGAACATTATGGAATCCAAGGAGTTGCTTGTAAATGGTTTCAATCTTATCTCTCAAATCGAGAGCAGTTTGTTAGCATTGATAGTTACAAATCAAATAATAAACAAAAAGTTTGTTGTGTTTCCGTGGGTTCTGTTCTTGACCCTCTATTATTTTTGATATATATTAAAGATCTCTGCCCACTTTTCATCAGCCCATTTGTTTGCTGATGATGCTCATATCTTGCATATTAATAAGTCTTGTTCCTTGTTTAAGAATATAAACTTAGATTTAAAAGGTTTAGATTTTTTCAAGTTCTCTGAACTTGAAAAAAACCAAACTAACATTTTTTTTTAACAACTTTTATACAACAATCATATATAGTTAAAATTAAAATTGATAAAAGGGGTTTATATCCAACACACTTTAAATATCTTGGTGTTTTTATATATTCGAACCTCTTATGGAATTTTCATATAGCTCTTTCATGCACTCTGTAAAAACTTAATCAAGCTAGTGGCATAGTTTTGATAATTCGCCATTATATTGATAAAACTGCCCTAAAGGGGTACCCTGTATTTTGCAATTTTTCAGTTTCAATTTTTGACAAATTTGCAATTGTCAATCGATCTGAATAATAAATTTTCAACTCTAAAAAAAAATTTAAATTCTTACCTTATCAGTTCTAGTTAGATTTGCTAATCTTCTTTTTGTTTTTGATTCCCTTAACAAAAATTTACATTTCTCTATTACAACTTCTTTCACGGAAACTCGATTTATACATTTAACTTTAAATCACATCCTACATTTATCCTACTATTTGAATGTATTTTAGAAACGGTGTAAGCTAACCATTTCGGTTACATAAGCATGTTGTCTGACCAAAATTTTAAAACTATTTAATAAACATATAGCTTTGTAAAACAGCAAATAAGCTTTCTTAAAAACTCTATCCCTTTTGTTTGTTATAGTGCATAATATCTTTTATATATATATATATATATATATATATATATATATATATATATATATATATATATATATATATATATATATATATATATATATATATATATATATATATATATATATATATATATATATATATATATATATATATATAGTGCATATATGTTATGTATATAATATCTATAAAACTTCAAAAGTGTTTTATTTTGAATTTTAGAAAAATAAAAGATTTAAAAAAAAAGTTGCCAGTGATATGATCATGGTTTGCATCCGAATCATGGTTTGCATCCGAAACTCTTTAAGCTAACCATTTTAGCCACTAATATGTATTGATTGTAGTTTATATCTCTATTTAATAAACAAAAACCTTTATAAAACAGTAACTAAATTGTATAAATCAAAATTAAGGAGATGTTCCCGCATTGCAGTTTTTAAATAAAAATAAAAGCTCTAAAACTTGATATATGTTTTAATATTACACAATTTAAAGTTTAAATAAATTAGATATTTGCATACACTTAGATATATTTGCATACAGCTAGATGTTTGCATAAAAAAGTGCTGCAACTCTTTCTTGCCATTACCTCAGTTGCAATGGTTGTCAAGAGTTCCATGTCAAACACATTCGAAGGGACACACATATATATATATATATATATATATATATATATATATATATATATATACATATATATATATATATATATATATATATATATATATATATATATATATATATATATATATATATATATATATATATGTATATATATATATGTATATATATATATATATATATATATATATATATATATATATATATATATATATATATATATATATATATATATATATATATATATATATATATATATATATATAGAGAGAGAGAGAGAGAGAGAGAGAGAGAGGTCAATTTATGTTAAGTGCAAAATTAATCATTTTGAGATAAGTATGCAGTTTTGTTATATTTCGTTAGATCTTTCATTTGGTCAAACTATGATTGCTGTAGTTACCTATAAAATTATGCATTAACTATAAATATTATTAAATAATATTTAAAATGATATTATTGTAATAAATCTATACAATAACAAATATATAATAATAAATATGCAGTAATAATTTATTAAAAATAACAAAAAAATTATATTAGTAATAAATTTTAAATAAAATGAATACATTCAACGATGAACTTTCCTGATAAAATGCAACTGTCTAAAAATATAAATTTATTTTTTATTATTACCTGATTTACAGCAACAAATCAAATTTTTAAACTCTTCTTCTTCAAAATGTCATATTTGCACTTATTATAATTAGACTAATGACCACATTGATATCTCATACTTGTGCAAAATAAACTGAAAAAAACCTCTTTCAAAAAGTCTGAAAACAGTTTTCAAAAATTGAGTTACTTTTATTATACTTTATTATATTAAACCTCAGTTATTTTATACATTCCAAATATTCAATTGAAGAATGAAGTGTTATTTCATAAAAGATCTTTTTAACTTTTGGAAAGAACGGACCACCAAAACAATCACCACAATTTTAACTACATTATGTTTATATAGGAGGTATTCAGGTAGTGCAACTATGTTGATGGTTTCTTTATTCAATTTTTTATCAAACGGTCAATGATTAGAAATAATTTTGTAATATTGCATATGAGGTTTGCAATTAAATTTGTACTTTCCAAATTCATTTGCTAATGCAAGTCCCTGGAACTCATAATCATAAATCATAATGAATTATATAATTTTTAACTGCTTTTATGCTTTAAAAGCAGTTAAAAATCTTTTGCATTACTTTTATGCTCTTTTTTATTACTTTTTTGAAAATGCTTTTCAATAAACTGTTTATTAAAAGAATCAAGTTATTAACTTAATTAAAAGAATCAAGTTATTAACTTAATTAAAAAAATCAAGTTAACTTAATTAAAAGTTTTGTTAAATTAATTTAACACAACGTAATTCAAATAAATTTTTTACTTGTAGTTTTTTACAAAAATAAAAAGTTACAGTTTAAGATCAAAAAAAGTCTATACAAACACTTATTTGAATTTTTTTATTTGTTTTTTTTTTTTTCTCAAAAAACACTTTCTAAAAAAAAAAACTGGTCATTTGTCAGGTTGTTTTCAGACAAATTTTTAGTAGGGGAGACCAGGGAGACTTTAAATGCAGGGGGAGAATGGACACTTTGAAATCTCCTCCCTATTATTATAAGCCTCATTAGCTGAATATTTGATTAAATGCTCTGCAATGTTGTATTGTTTAATTAATTAATTTGCTATTGTTGTATTGTTTGGGGTCAAAAAAGTAACTTTTTACTTAGTAGCATTGCTAGTTTACAACACATATCTATTAGAATAATGACGTTTTCACCAATGAGATCTGATATCCAAGAAAAAAATTCTGAACTAAAAATTCTAAAACTCCATGATCTTGTAAAGTTTTACAGTTGTCTTTTTGTGTTTGACTTTTTCCAAAATAAACTACCAAACTCTTTTTAAATTTTTTTTTATTAAAACAAATGAAGTTCATAATCATCACACCAGGAATACAGAAAATTGTAAGCTGAACTCTTCTTTTTTCAACACAATTAAATTGGTAAGTTTTTCATAAAACAACAATGTTTTTCCCAATCGAACCAGTGTATTTCCTGCATTAATAAAAAAGTCCAAAAAAATATATATATACCCTTGTTACAGATTATTTAATTGAGTGGAGTGGTTTGATTTTTGCTTTATTTATTATTTATCTATATTATATTTATTTATTATTGTGTTGTATTTGCTACATTTTATGTTATTGTTATATTTAATTATTATCTATAATATGTACATACAATTCATATTGTATTATAATTATTCCTAATATTATTGATACTTTATTATTATTGTTATTATTTTGTATTATTACTATAATTATTACATATCATTATTATTTGTTTAACAATCTTTTCTTTTTTTTTTCTCTCATTTATATATTTTTTTTTGCTTTTCTTTTTTTTTTTTTTTTTCTTTATTAATTTATTTTTTTCAGAATTTTATGTTTTTTAGGTATCACTCCATTTTAACTATATGAGTGACACCTAACCAAAATCTATTAATTTACGATGAGCATTTGTATATTTTTATTGATATGGTTGAATTTAAAAAAAAAAAACTAAATATTTGTTCAATACTGCATCCTAATATTGTATCCAATAATGAATAAGTATTTTTTTAATTATAAGAGTATCCCCTTTAAAAATAGGGACTTAATACTAAGTTTAAATTATAATTTTTAAATTTTTTTATTTTTATCAGAATAATAATAATTTCATAATTTTTTTTTAAAAGATGAACAAGATGCATACATTGTTGTTTCCTTTGTAAATGCAACACTTGTACTTAGTATTGGAGAAACTGTGGAAGAGGTTACTGACAGTGGTTTTCTTGGAACAACCCCTACTTTATCTTGCTCACTACTTGGTGAAGATGCTCTGCTACAGGTAGGTTAATTACAAAACAAGAATATTTTAAAAATCGCAAATCACAAATCATTTGTTTTACAAGCTTGAAATTTTAGAAATTTATTGATTATATTCCAAATTTTCAAAAAACACACAAAAAAAAAAAAAATTTTTTTGTGTGTTTTTTGAAACGTTTTTAATGGCTGGTGTTTAAAAACAGCCATTAAAAAGATTAATAATTCTCTAAATACTAAAATACTATAATACTTATAACAATATTTATAATACTTATATGTATTTGTTATAATATAATTGGCACAGGATTAGAAATTAAAATTATTAAAAATCTTAGTGATAATTTTAACATTATCTACATCAAAATTTAAGTTATGTGCAAAATTTATTATAGCTCAGGATGGTGTGATACTTCAACACTTATTGGTTGTTAAATCTTATGCTTAGTTGTTAGTGTACATGCAAATATACATTATCACATTAATCTGAATCTGTTTATAATTTGAGTTGTCTTGTGAATTGCACATTCTGTCTTTGTAAATGGCTCAAACATTGATTAATAATAATAATAATAATAATAATAATAATAATAATAATAATAATAATAATAATAATAATGATAATAATAATAATAATAATATGGATTTAAGCTTACAGCTTAAATAATAATAAATATAAATAAAAATATAATAATTATAATAATATGGATTTAAGCTTACAGCTTAAATCCATATTATTATTATTATTATTATTATTATTATTATTATTATTATTATTATTATTATTATTATTATTAAAGCTTTTGAATGTATTTATATCTGGTGTTGGTGTAAATTTAAGTAAACTAAAATTATTCAGCATTTTAATTTGTATAGTTAAAAAGTTTTTGCTGAAATAGATTATATATATCTTAAGTAATATATATCTTATGTAAAAGATAGTTAAAGCCTTGGATTTTTTTTTTTTTTGAACACATTATTTTAATTTATAAATACATTTTTATTTGATATAGATATATCCTGATGGAATTCGCCATATTCGTTCAGATCGTCGTGTTAATGAATGGAAAACACCTGGTAAAAAAAATATAATACAATGTGCTGTAAATGAGCGTCAAATTGTTATCGCCCTCACTGGTAATGAGCTTGTTTATTTTGAACTTGATCAGTCAGGTCAGCTTAATGAATATACCGAGCGTAAAGAAATGAGTGCAGATGTTGTGTGCATGGCATTAGGTCCAGTTCACGCTGGAGAGCAGCGTTCTAGATTTTTAGCTGTTGGATTAATTGATAACACTGTTCGAATTATATCATTGGATCCAAATGTGATATTTTAAATTTTTTTGTTGTTCTTTTATATTTTATTTCATGAACATTTTTTAGCATATTTTTTATGTTTTATGTTGTTTTTGTTTTTTTTATAAATATTTATTAGTGAACATTATTTTCTTTTACATTTATAACTAATTTTATATTTAATTAGTCCACTTATGTTTTTTTATTTACATAAAGGATTGTTTGGAGCCTCTCAGTATGCAAGCTTTGCCAGCAGCAGGAGAATCACTGTGTATAATTGAAATGGGTGGTACTGAAGTAGGAGAGAAAGGAACTGCAGGAAATGCTGGAGGCCTTTTTCTTAATATTGGTTTAGCAGTAAGCTGATTGTTCTATATTTTTAAAAAACATCTTAAAATTAAAGTTTATTGAATCATATTTTTTACATTAGAATGGTGTTTTACTTCGTACTGTTCTTGATTCTGTTACTGGCGACCTATCAGATACACGAATCAGGTAAAACATAGGTTCATATCATATATTTCATAAAATTACAATGTTTATATATATATATATATATATATATATATATATATATATATATATATATATATATATTTGTGTGTGTAGATTTTTTAAAAGTATTTTTATTACAGATGAAAAAAATATCCTACAACTAAATAATAATACTAATTTAAAAAAATTAACAGGGCTTGAATTAAGTGATTGCAAATGTGATGTGGTAATGCTTCCCGTCTTTAAATTTTTAGCTTTTAAAAACTGTCAACTCTGTTCTCTGTTTTTATCACTAAGATCAATAGCTGTTATTCAATAAAAAATATTTATATTGATCTTGAATTATGATATAAGATATCATTATAAAACCATATTATTACTTCTATTTTTTTTATTATTAAAAATTATGATTTAAAGTTTAGTACTTTAATTCATTTTATAAATCATCAGATAAAACTAGAAAAATAAAGCGTGATTAAGTACTATGTAATTATTAAAAACTAATCACAACAGTCTAAAGAGATTTAGCCATGATAAAATATTTTAAATAAAAGAAATCATGAAATAAGATGTAAAATACATTTTCTTATTTAAATATTTTCTTATAAATTTAATGCTCAAAACACTTTTGCAGGTATGTAAAAACACTTTTGCAGGTATGTAATAACACTTATTAAAACTTTTTATAGTTATTTTAAATCAAAACAAAAAAATAACTTATTTTAAAATATATCTTTTTTATTACTTTTTTTTTTATCAATTAAATTATTTCAAATTTAAAACATTTAAATTTTTAAATAAATAGTTCCTCAAACTTTCCCCCTAAACAAAAATTGATTTTAATGTTTCAATGCACAAATAGCTTTAGTTAAATAGTTTTTTATTGGTTGATTTTTAAATTACTGCTCAAATTTTTCGGACCTTTATTAATTTTTTTTTTTCTTAAAACTTTTTTTTTTCTATTTATAATCCTTAAATTACCTGATGTTTAAACAAGCAATAATTAAGAATATGTAAATTTTGACTTATTATTTTTGCAGTAGTAAATTTATTGTTTTGTTTTTTTATTAATTTTGCAATATGATAATGGATCATTTCACTGAAACAATGTTTTAATGAAAAGAATACAAATAACAACATTTTTCATTTAAACAATGTGTTATATTATTATTATTATTCTTATTATTATTATTATTATTATTATTATTATTATTATATATATATATATATATATACCTGGGTATTACCCGGATATTTTTTTCAATTAGATGTTACAGCAGCTATTAAATAACCTATGGAGTGTAAATTTAGTCAATTTCGATTAAAAAAAACAAGTTTCGGAAAGGCCAAAATGAAGAAGTTTTTTAACTTTTATCTTTAAACTACATTTTTCTTTTAAGTTTTTTGTAGCAATCTATTTCTTATTTTTTGGCAAGATTTTTACTTTTACTTCTTTGCGAACTTCACAAAATCTTCGTAGCATTTTAATAATGCTATTCCATCGCGTTTTACAATCTAAAAATAAAGCTTTTCAAAGGACTGAATATTTAAAGGTTGAAGATTGTCATCATTTCTGAATGGGGACTTTCTAAAGACTTTAAAATTTTTATGAATTTTACCAACAATACACCAATATCAGAAACTAGGTTTGTCTCAGTGCCTACTTCATCACAGGTCTCTATTGTTTTTTCTTAATTCTCTTCCTCTTCAGATCAAAATTTAAATTTTTTATCATAAATTAAATCATTGTTTATCTTATACGGCTTCTAAAGTATATCGCAAACAGAAAGATAGACATTTCATCATAACACTCGCACCATCAGTGATTGTTGCTACAATGTTGTTTGAATCCAATTGAAATTTAGACAATCTTGACTTGAAAAGTTGAATAGCTTTTTTTAGTGTTCATGCTTCTGTTGAAACAGATCATTCCTAGAGATTGAAAGCCATCTAAACCATGTAAGGTCAGATTCATAAAACAACGGTTTCTGACTGAAGCAGATTTTTCAAAGCTTATAGAAAAACAACCTTCTTCTTGAATTTTTCGAATATCTTGCTTAATTATGGTGATAATTTTACCATATTCTGCCATAAATTGATCTCTGATGTTTTGAGAGTTTTTTGAATTATATTTTTAAAATTACCCAGGTAATTTTGAAAAATTACCTGGTTAACAGGTAAGAAAAAACTTGCAAATTACCGGGTAACGGTTAAAGTCTCTTTCCACCAGTAAGCACTTATATTTTTGTTATTTTTAATACTAGTTTTAGTATTATAATATATATTATATACTATATATAATATATATTATAATATTAAAACTAGTATATTATAAAAATAAAAACAATCTAAGCGCTTGCTGGTGAAAGGAGCAAGAGTTTTTAATAGAACGAATACATTATTTTGAATTTTGAATTTTCTGCTTCCAAAAGTATGCGCGATTTTAATTCCATTTTTATATCCATTTATTTTAATTTTCAAATGTGTGATTTATGAAAATGGGTGATTTACAAAAGTTTTTTTTAACGTCATGCATATTTATATTATTTTTTAATTTTAATTTTTATTTATACTGTGTTTCCATTTTAAAGTATTGTTTTATAGTTTATAATACTTGTCTATTAATTTTTAAAAGGTTTTTATTAACTTTATTAATTTTTCTTTGTTTATTAATTTTTCTTAAATATGTTTTAATACAAACTTAAGTTAAAATATGATTCAACTTAATTTTAGAGGTTCATTAATGTATTAAATATTTTAGTTATATTATCATTAAATAATCATTTTTAGGTGTTTGAAGAGTGCTTAAAAAGTATTTAATTTCTCAATCCTGAAATCCCGGGATTGAAAATTTTGGGGATTTTTGCCATCCCTAACTGGAACTATTTTGAACCCAGAGTTCTTATGTGTAGTGGTGGCAAGGTGGTTTTATGTGTAGTGGTTGCAAGGTGGTTTTATGTGTAGTGGTTGCAAGGTGGTTTTATGTGTAGTGGTGGCAAGGTGGTTTTATGTGTAGTGGTGGCAAGGTGTTTTTATGTGCAGTGGTGGCAAGGGACACAAAGCTGTAATAACAATAGGTTTCTACTCATAAAATCTTATGAATTATTTTAGTCCCCTAACAAGACTGCTGGACATCATAGACCAAAAACAAATAATTATTTAAAGCCAGAGTTTTGAGATTTTGCATGCCTAATGATTATATTAGTCCAAAATCAATTTTAAAAAACATAGAAGAAATTAGTTCATATGTAAATGTCAAAACTTTTTAAAGAATTTAATCATGAATAACATAATAATTGACAAATAGGGATTTGTTGTAATTAACAAGAGTATTAGTTCAAGGGACAACTGAATAAGCGCGAATTTCATAAGTGCGAACTGGCATAAGTGCGAATGGCGTAAGTGCGAATTGGCATAAGTGCGAAGCGTTGCAAAAACTGCCATATGTGCAAATTGGCATAAGTGCGCCAAAACATTTTGCAAACATTGGCATAAGTGCAAATTGGCATAAGTGCAAACTGGTATAAGTGTGAAGCAGTTGCAAAAACTGGCACAAGTGCGAACTGGCATAAGTGCGCAGAACAAATTTGCAAACTTTGGCATAAGTGCAAATTGGCATAAGTGCAAACTGGTAAATAAGTGCGAAGCAGTTGCAAAAACTGGCACAAGTGCGAACTGGCATAAGTGCGCAGAACAAATTTGCAAACTTTGGCATAAGTGCAAACTGGCATAAGTGCGAAATACTAATTTACACTTATGCCAATATTAGAAATTTTATTCGGCGCACTTATGCCAATTCGCAGTTATGCCAGTTCGCATTTATACCAATTCGCACTTGTGCCAATTTTTGCAAATTTGTTCAGCGCACTTATGCCAATTTGCACTTATGCCAGTTTGCATTTGTGCCAGTGTTTGTAACTGATTCGCACTTATGCCAGTTAGCATATATGTCAATTCGCACTATGCTAATGTTTGCAAATTTGTTCGGCACACTTATGCCAATTTGCACTTATGCCAATTCGCGCTTATGCAGCCTCCCGTTGGTTCAACTAAAGATTTTTTTACTCTGAAAGATTTTTTTAATAGTAACCTCTATAATCTGGTTTTATTTCAGTAATAAAACATTTTCTTAATTATACAGAAATTCTGATTATTATTTTTTTTTTTTTTTTAAAAGTTTTTTCATTTAATTTAAAAATTTATAGAGAAAATATATATATATTTTTTTCTTTTTTTTTTTTTTTTTTTTTTTTTCATTTTTTTCTTTTTCTTTTTCGTGTTTGAGTTAAAGTTGCCAGTTAAAAAATTAAAGTGTATAGTTTTTACGTTGTACTAAATTTGCATGAGTAAATACACTACTAAATATTTAATATTTATGTTGTACTAAAATTGCCTGAGACATTACTAGATATTTAATTTTGCACAGAATAGTATTGTATAATAATATTCTATAGATAAAGAAGAGTGTCTAGATAATAAACATACATGAAAGAGTTGAAGAAAAACAAATTTTACAAGCAAATTTTTTTTTAAAGAAAAGAGCTATAAGTGCGTAGCAAACAAAAACTATTTAAAGCATCTTTGCTTTAAATAGTTTTTGTTTGTGTGCATCTTTGCATACTAACATCTTTGATGATTATACTAATAATTGCTGTTTGGGGCTCAATACATAGATTGAACTGAGATTTTTGGTTGTGCTATCTGCATATACTGCAGCAAAAAGAAGAAAAGCATTTTTTTATTTTCTTTTGAAATTTCTGTCTGTTTCAAAGTTGTCATTTTAAAACTTAAAGTATGTGAAATATATTAGGCGTCAACCTAAATCAGCCAAAGTGTGTGTCTGTGCATCTGTGTGTGTGTGTGTGTGTGTGTGTGTGCATGTGTATATATATATATATATATATATATATATATATATATATATATATATATATATATATATATATATATGTATATATATATATATATAATATTATATACTTTACTGAAACAGGGGGCTATCGGAGGCTTTAGTACATTCATCACTGACTAAATAGAGAGAGCATGCAAAGAGTGCCACTACATTGGCTAAGGGTTTGGGTCAGGGCAACAATCTTGTTTTTCCTTTTTTTTTTCTTCCTTTCTTTTTTCCAAATAAGTAATATGGAGAAATGTAAACAAATGAATATCTGAATATACTGTTATAGATACAGTAAATTTCAAACTGAGTAGTCCAGATTTCACAAAACATTGATGACATCATTCTGAAATAGTGATAGGTAATGATAAGTAAAGGATAATAATATAATTAGTAAAGGGTAAAATAGAAATATGATGGACTAATGTAGTTCAAGTTTACATTGACTGACAGAGGCATGTTTAACAGCATAAAAAAGCAGTTCACAAAACATTTGTGAAACGCTTATTTAAGGGAAGAGAAAAGAGTAATGAAAATGTCAGGAAATTGCAACTACAAATGTTTGAGGGAGTATTTAAAATACATAGGTCGTTAAAGAAGTTCGTAGAACTTCACCTATAAAGTTACAATAAGACTGTGTTTCATTATTACCATTTTAAGTACTTGTTGATTTTAAATGTTTATTTAAAAAGTTATTTAAATTTTATTATATACGTTTGAAACAAAAAATTTAAAAATGCAAAAACTTCGGGTTTTAATATCAAACATATATTAAAACTCGTGCTCTATTTGGAGTTTCAGCACAAGCCATAACCGTTGAACCGTGACAGGTTTCAGCCAAATAGCATGTTCAACATCTTCAAAACAATAGGTGTTGTTCATTTGGGTTATGTTGAAAAGGGAGACACCATTACTAGCAAGTATTATATAAAAAATTGTTTGAAACCTCTTATATGCGAAATAAATAAGCAAATACCTAAAACAGGCACTCACAATTTCAAATTTCTCCATGATAACACTCGACCCCATGTAACTTAAACCATCACAAATTGTCTAAACCAAGCTGGAATTACAATAATTTGCCACCCACCATACTCAATAGACTTATCTTTATCCGGTTATTGGCTATTTGACTTGATAAAAAAAAATCTTGATGAAGATACTGATGTCGAAAGCCAAAAAACTTGCATAACAAAACTACTTGAAAGTATAACCAAAGAAGAGTATAAATAAATGTTTCGCAAATGGCTTGAAATGATGTAACTTTGTATAAATAATGATGGACATTATTTGGAATATTTAATAAAATTAAATTAAAAAAACTGGTTTATTTTTTTTATAGGGGAGTTCTACGAACTTTCCTAATGAGCTAAGTAATTATTTTAAATAAAATAATATTAATAAAATAGTTGAATAAAAAGTACCAACTTAAATATTTTTAAATTTATAAATATTGTTATTTCTTAATTAATTAAAAAAATTTTAATATTAACTTATAAATAACATTATTTCACATCTGTTTTTTATTTTCAGGTATCTTGGATCAAAACCAGTAAAATTATTTAATGTAAAAACTTATGGATGCAGCTCGGTAAATTTTTAAATTTTTATTCAATTGATCTGTATATAAACTGTATAATTAAAAAAAAAGATTTTATCTAGGTTTTAGCAATGTCTAGTCGTACCTGGCTGAGTTATACTTACCAATCTCGTTTTCACCTGACACCTCTATCATACGAATCTCTTGAATATGCTTCCAGCTTTGCTTCTGAACAATGTCCAGAGGGGATAGTAGCTATATCATCCAATACTCTCCGGTATGTTTCATGTTACTGTTCTGTTATTAGATTATGTTGCATAATTGCATAAATAAGCCTTTGGAGCTTTGAATTACACATAGCATTATATTTTAGTCTATCTATCAAATTTAAATTGACTTATACCGTCAACAATAGACTGGGTACTTTCAAGATTAGACTGCATTTTTAAGTGATAAAATTCACCTGTTAATCTTGAAACCAAAAATCCTTCATTTATAAATATTATCTCTGATTTGTTAAAAAATATTTAAGTGATATTAGTGGTAAATGATTTTAAGCTAAAAATTCATTTAAAAAATTTGAGTTTTAAAAGAAAAAATAAAGGATTTTTAGTTTCAAGATTAACAGGTAAATTTTATCAGGTAAAAACCCAGTCTAATCTTGAAACTACCTTGTCAATTGTTGATGGTATTTAAATTTGATAGACAGACCAAAATATTTGGCAATTAACTATAAAAAAAGAATTAAATTGTATAATAAAGGTCTACTACTTTTTTTAACTTTTTTAAATTTTCTCTAATTGGTTACAGTGTGATATTAAAAAGTTATATAGAGAAATAAGTTGATAAAATGCATTACACTTTAATTTAAGTTTTAGACTGTTTTAAATACATTTCTGGCATATCACTTTTAGTTTCAATTTTAGGTCCTTTACTTTTTATCATTTTCTTTGATGATTTCAAATAACATTATTAATGCTATGTCAATCAATAAATGAGAGGAAAATCAAGTTGATGATGCTTTCAACCAGCCAAAGGTTTTCTAGGGTGACACCAATAAACCTAATTTATCAGAATCAAAGCATTAATTTTGAAATATATTATAAATATCTTGGTTGCACAATTGACTCAAAGTTAACATTGGACAGGTTTTTTAACAGTATAAAAAAGTTGGTAACCTAAGATCTCTATCAAATCTCTGTGACAATATTGAAAGCGGTAGTTCAATATTGCCCTTTTAACTTTACATATAGTTAATTTACATGACAACAATAATAAAAATAATAGAAATGGTAAGAAAAATGTGCAAATAAAAATAACTTTAATAAATGAAAAGTAAAATCAACAGTATCATTATTATGATTGTACACTAATTAGTTGTACACTAATCCTCGGAAAACATGACAGCAATTTTAGTGATTATTTTTAAAAAAAAAAGTAGAACTAGAAGAACTAGAAGAACTAGAAACATATTTCAAATGAAGTTAAGTTTAAAAAATGATAGTTATATAAGTTTATTAAAAAAAAATTATTGTCAAAAAGGTTGGTAAAAGTGCACTTTTTAAATTTTTAGTTAATAACAGGTTGGCTAGTGGTCCTTAAAAATCTGGAAAAATCTTGGTATTAGAAAAGACCTGGAAAAATACCCTTTTTAGCAATAATTCCTTGACATCCTGGAACTTTTTTCAGGAAAAGTTCAATATTTTGTTATACCCAAACTAAATTTGATAAGCATGTCTTTTACGTAACAGAAAAAAATTTTGTTTTTATTCCACTGATTATTTATTTTTCATTTTCATGTTTTTTTATAAATCGACTTTTTTTTATTAGTACTATTAAGTTTAATATATTTATTTTTATATAATATAATTATCATTTGTAAATTTTTCATATAATTTCACTTTATTTGACACCCACGTGATACACTTCAATACAATCTTCTACAAATTTTTACTTCTACAAATCTTCAAGTTTCTTTGGAGACCCCTAAAAGTATTTTTTATTTAAAAAATTTTTAAAACCAGTGTTTTTTTATTATTATATAAAAGAAGGTGACAGCAAATGTTTTTCAAAAATCTTTTTTTTTGGGGGACACTTCAATACATACATATGTGATAACTATTAAGTAAGTTGGATAAAAAATTGTGTCTGTGATCGATGTTTTTGTTAATATTAAGTTAATTCTTTTTTTTGTGTATACAATGAAAAATTAATATCTTAATGCATCGACCTCTTAAATTTCATAATAAATAAATTCATAAATTTTATCTTTGTTTTTAATCAAAACATTCAGAGTAATGAAATTGTACAAATTCCCAGAAACCTTTTCATTATTTTCATTAGAAACATTATCAATGTTTTTTCATTATCAATGCAATGAACTTGATTGGTGTTTTTTAGCAATTAAGTAAAAATTTGATTTTGGGTAGTTAAATGGCAAATTTCAAAAGGAAAATTCACAAATATGAGTTTGTCAAAAATTTTGTCAAGTTTGTCAAGTTCACATATTTTAGCATAAAATCTCAAAAACACTTTTAAAAACGGTTCTTTATTAAGCTAAGCATTATTTAGGCTGTCCACTGTCTATTTCAGGGGTCGGCAACCTGCTGCTTGCAAGCTGCATGCAGTTTTTTTTATCCGAATTGTGTGGCTTTTACAAAATGTCCAAGTTATATATACTTAAATTTTATTAAAACAAATAAAAAAATTTAATTATAGAAAAAACATTTTTTTTTTAATGCATTGAAATAACGATTTGAAGTTGAACAGAATTATATTAAAATAATGTACGCAGCCATTATGTAGTAGTGCCAGAACTCTAGTTTTAGCCAGAACACTAGTTTTGAACTCTGGCTAAGAGCCAAGAGGTTTGTGGTTTGACTCAGGCTCTGGCATAATAAGCGACATTGATAAAAAAGGCGGTTAGAACTTCAAAGATGTCCTTTATATCTTGAATACTCAAGGCGTAAAGGACTTGGTAGTAAAAATAGTAAAGTAAAATCCTCTTAAAAAGGATTTTATTTTATTATTTGCGAATTTTGTTTATCACTTTATGAAAATATGAAAAATATTCTGATCTACAGTTGTATAAAAATGTCTATTGTTTATCTAAATGGTGTTTTGAAAAGTGTTTCTATCACTGTATTGATTTAAAAACATTTTTTGTTGTCAAAAGCTTTCAAATACCTGGAGTTAAGCAATGGCAATTGGTTACAAAAACTTTATTTTGCTACCGTTATGACAGTTCATAATAACCTCAATAAGATATTGCAAGGACAAGAAATACTGTACATTTGATTTTATAACACAAAGTTTCTTTTGTAGTCAATTGTGTTATTTTAAGATATTAGCAAAATTTAATTCATTTCTTGTGTTTAAAAATTTAATTCATTTAATTTTAATTCATTTCTTCTGTTCTGCATCAAGATGCAGGAAGTGTTATTAAGACTAATTAAAAATTTGATTTGTCATTTTTGTCACATCCATTTACAGTAAATACCAGCGAAAGAAATTTTAATTTAGATAATATGAAAAAACTTTCAATTTTTTAGAAATATTAAATTATATCTGAAACATGGAATAATCTTCTCAAAACTTCAACTTTAGCTGATGGCAGACTCTTTACTGTTATTCATTCAACATATTATTGTTATCTATTCAACATATTATTATCCATTCAACATATTATTGTTATCTATTCAATATATTATTATCCATTCAACATATTATTGTAAGCAGATATTTTGCAACATGTACATCATTAAAAGTAACTTGAGATACTCCCTCCTTGAAAGTTATCTAAAACTAAAGAATTCAAATTATGAATCTGATCTGTGAATCAAATTATGAATCTGATCTGTGAATCAAATTATGAATCTAGTCTGTGAATCAAATTATGAATCTGGTTTGTGAATCAAATTATGAATCTGGTCTCACAAAAACTCACAAAAATCTCACTAATCTTTTTGTTCGATTTTTTGTATTTAATTTTTTTATTATTTATTAATTCACAACATGTAAAATTAAAGTATATCAGGCAAGTTGTTATTAATCTTCAGTTTTTTACACAAGCACCCTTGCGCTCTCGATAAGTTTTGGAAAAGAAAAATTTTAAGAAAAATAGCTCTCTACTTAAAATAAGTTGCTGACCCCTGGTCTATTTGAATTCATTTTTGAATATTTTAGTACCAGTGTTTTTTATTTTTTATTCTATTTTTAATATAATTTTTACTAAATTAACTTCTAAATTTAAAATATTTTAAATTTTAAATATTGTTCAATAAAAGTATATTAGCGCTGGAAAAGTTGGGTGCAGTTTTTAATCAAGTCACAACTCCATTGGATTTTACTCCACGCAAGTTTGTGGTTGACCATAAATCTCACACCCTTATCATGATAGAGACCGATCATAATGCCATGACAAAAACTTTCAAGTTAGATCGCAAGCAGCGTATTGCAGAGGTTTTTATGTATTATCATTTTTCATTAAGTTTCAAAAATAGTTTTTATAGTATTAAAGATTTTTTCTGTTTTCTATCAGAATATGTCATATTTGTCATTTTAAATAGGAAATGGTAGAATCATGTGGAGACAACGATGAGGCTCGTGCTGCTGAGTCACAAGTTGCTGCAAATTTTCTCAATACTGACATTCCAGAGATACAGTTTGGTGCTCCTAAAGCTGGTATTGGTAGATGGGCATCTATTGTACGTATAATGGATCCTATCAGAAGTGAAACTCATCATGAAATTCAACTTGAACAAGACGAAGCTGCATTCTCGTATATTAATGTTTTATATTTAGCAACTTTTTATAAAGAGTATTTTTTTACAATATTGTTTTTTTTTTTTGTTTTTTTTTGCGTATAATTTTTTTTCCTTTTTTTCAGAGTATGTCTAACTGAATTTGCGAATCAACCAGGTGATCGATTTGTTATAGTAGGGTGTGCAACAAAAATGATTTTAAATCCACATTCCAGTCAATCGTGTTCGATCCATACATATCAGCTCTATCAAAATGACAGAGGTCGCATGCAACTTGAGTTGTTGCATAAAACACCTGTTGATGATATTCCTGGTGCGCTTTGCTCATTTCAAGGTCGCCTTCTAGTTGGTGTTGGCCGTATTCTTCGTATATATGATCTTGGTAAAAAAAAATTGCTTCGCAAGTGTGAAAATAAAAAGGTTTCTACATTTATTACTGGAATAGATACAATAGGTTATCGGATTATGGTACATGACATTCAGGATTCTTTTCACTTTTTAAAATACAAACGAAAAGATAATCAGCTAGTTTTGTTTGCAGACGATGTAAATAAAAGATTTCTTACATGCGGATGCTTAGTTGATTACGATACCATGGCTGGAGCTGACAAATTTGGAAACATTTTTTTTGTTCGGTTGCCAGCAGATGTTAAAGATGATATTGAAGAAGACCCAACTGGTGTAAAAGCTTTATGGGATCGTGGTTTATTAAATGGGGCTTCGCAAAAAGTGAGTTACAATTATGTTTTTTATTAAAATTTGTGTTTAAATGTTTAATGACTTCAATCGATTAAATAATCGACTTAAAAATCAAAACAAATTAATCGACTTCAATCAATTAAATAGACTTCAATCAATTAAATAGGCTGACGTTGTATCTGTTTATCATATCGGAGAAACAGCATTATCATTGCAAAAAGCTACACTCATACCAGGAGGATCAGAAAGTTTAGTGTATACAACAGTTTCTGGTGGAATTGGAATGTTGGTACCATTTACTTCAAGAGAGGTTTAGAATATTTTTTTATTGTTAATTTTGTTTAAATAATGTTTACTAATTATAACTTATTATTCTTATATAGGATATTGATTTCTTCCAACATCTGGAAATGCATATGAGACAAGACTCTCCGCCTTTATGTGGTCGGGATCACCTCTGGTTCCGTTCTTCTTTTTCTTCTGTAAAAGTAAGTTTTTAAAATCAAATCTAATTTAAGTTATTAAGAAACCGCATCGTTTGTATGTTACACTTGTTTAGAATTGCGTTGATGGTGATTTATGTGAACAGTTCAATTCACTTGAATACGCTAAAAGAAAAGCTATTGCTGAAGAGCTTGATAGAACTCCAGCCGAGGTATTTAAAGTTAATTTTTTTAGTTTTAAAAGTAAATATGTCAATGAGTCGTTTTTTAAAAATCACAACATAATAAATAAGGTATCTTTGTTATTTACCAGATAAATATATTTACTATATACGCTGCACAAACATTTTAGTAACACTATTGACAAAAGCTCTTATAAAATACTTAAACAAAACAACCTAATAACACAACTAATGCAACTTTTGTATCACAGAAGATTACACCTATACAGGTTTGTACTTTCTGTACACTGTACCTTACTTTCACAACACAACCAATACATCTTATTTACACAATAAGCCTATACGTCCACAAAACTTTTGGAATAAACTTCTATTGTAACTAGTGGCAATAATAGATTCAACTTGTCACAAATGTTTGTCCTTTAAAAATCTTTTATTTTCTTATTTTTCAAAAATAATTTATTTCAGGTCTCAAAAAAGTTAGAAGATATTCGAACAAGATATGCTTTTTAAAAACGAAGAATTATCCTTTGAATTACAACAAAATATTGTTTCTGCGACAAAGTTGGATTCTGATGTCCTCGTTATTTTCCAAAATGTTAATACAAATATTTATCATCTTATACAGATTTTTATATTATTTGTGGCTGGATTGTTTCTCGCTGTTCATATTATGCAATTTGGCGTGATTTCAATTTTTTCCTTTTTTTATGTTGTAAGAATCTTAAAAAAGACAGCTGACAGACTTTTGATAAAAGCTATCAATTATATCCAAAATAGAGTTTTTAATAATATTAAAAAAGGTTTTCAGTGTTTTACATAAGGGGCCATCCATAAAGGACGTCATCCAATTAGGGGGGGAGGGGGCGAGTTAAAAAGAACAAGGGGAGGGGGAGAGGTTGTCAGAAAAGGACGTCACTTTATAGAAAACTACCTAAACATGTGTTTTTAAGAAGATAATGTATGAGATTTTTCAAAGGTGTAGCAGCAGGTTCAAACATTGCGAAATGAAATAAATTTTTTTGGGGTTAAAAATAGGGGGGGGGGGGGGGAAGCAGGATTTTATGACGTCCTTTTCAAGGGGGGTATATGGAAAAAAGACAACCGGTGACAAAGGGGGGAGGGGTCAAAAATTGGCTAAAAAATAGTGATGTCATTTATGGATGGGCCCTAAATATAATTTAAATGTATCTCGAAAGTGTCTTAAAGTAAATTGATACTTTTAGAGACGAGAGAGGGACGACATTTTCATGCATTTTAGATGTTTTTATCAACAACTTACGTGTTTTGACGGTAATATAAGCGATTATTTTATTATTAAATAAAATTTTATAAGGCAAGCAAATTAATAAGATGATTATATTATTAGATCATTTATCATCGTAAAAGGGCTAAAAATATCAAATTGATATTCAAAAGGTCATTGCATTAAATTGTATTTACAAGAAAAAAAATTTGACAGCTATCTAGAAAAAGTTCTAAAAATCTTAAGCTTACTGCGTCATTCTTGAGATAAAGGTGTTTATGGTGCGTGACCATATAGAGTTTTTAAACAATTCATCGCATTTACAAAAATGCCTAGATCATCTAATTTTCTCAGCCTGTTGAACCCGTCATTTCAAAAAAGCCTAAGTTACACTTAGAATTTCACTTTTTTGAGCCATTTTATTTATTGAAGTGAACGCATTTCCTTTAAAAGAGAACGTCATCATATACCACAAGTAAACTTTTAAGCCAAATTAAAATTAAAGTCTGTTTGCAAAAGGCACTTATCGCGGACCTATAGCTCTTTCATGTAAAACAAAACGCAACTGTCAGGTGTGACATCACTTTACTAGTTACAAAAATAAAGAATTGCAAACTTGCTTAAAATTTTAAAGACAATTTAATTTTTAAAAATAAAATAAAAATTCAATAGAAACAAAGCTCATATTTTTTTAGTGTAACAAATTCAAAAACAAAAAATATTAAAAACAAGAAAAATAAGAAGACGGAAAAAAATAAAAACAAATACTGTAAATTAAACAAATATATATGTCAGGAATTAAGAAGATGCATTTTAGTTTCCCGTTTTTGACTGATATGAATTAATTTTCTCTAAGTGATAGTTGCACCTGGTATTTGAACGCAAATTATATTTTTCAGAAAACGATATCAAGAAAGTATCTGAAAAAACGCTTGGTACGAGGTTGTTCTTATACTTATACATAAAAAAATTTTTTATGTATATGTGCTAAGTGTTTTTATGTATATGTATATAACACATTTTTTTTCAACTCAAGCTTTCAACAAGAACGGACGCACTTTTTACCTCGTGGCGAAAAAAAAAAACTTTTTATTTATTATAAATAAAGACGTATCTTTAAAAAATTTTAACTTAATAATATGGCTGTAACACTTCCAGAAATAAAGAAAATTTTAAAAGAAATGTTCAAAGAATTTAAAAAGGAAACGGAAGAAATGTTTCAAAAGCAAGAAAAAGCAGTTCTCGATATTATTGGCGCTAACATCAAAATAATAAACGACAGATTTGAAAAAGTAGAGAAAAATATTGACAGAAATGCAAATTGTATAAAAAAATTAACAAAAGAATTAGAAGATATAAAGGTAAGCCTTAATTTTAATGAAGGACTTATCGACGAAAAAATAGTTACTAACAACAAATATCTAGATAAAAAAATGGAACATACAAAAATAGATAATGTATTAAAAGAAAAACGAAACTTAGAAGATCGATCACGCCGAAACAATCTTAGGATTGAAGGAATTTACGAGAATGATAAAGAATCATGGGGGATACTGAAAAAAAAGTCCAAACATTCTTCACCGAAAAACTTGTTTTTAAAATTCAAAAAACAAATTACTCTACGTTAAATGAAAACTTAGACTCTGATAACAATATTTATCACAATAAATTTTCAGATTGTTCATATTACTTTCCTAGCCAACTAGAAGGGTTTCTTTTTAAGAATGAGCGTGAAAGAAATAATATTCAAATGTTAATTCTCCACCTCAATATAAGAAGCCTAAATATCAATTTTGAAAAACTTTTAGACTTATTAGAAGAAACTAAACATGTTTTTAATATAATTTGTTTAACGGAAACTTGGACTTCTTTAGAAGACCTAAATAAGTTTTATCTACCTCATTTTAATACATTTTTAATGGAAAGGAAAACAAATAAGCGCGGTGGTGGAGTTTTAATTTATGTTCACGAAAATTTTGAGCATTGTTTTAGGCATGATTTAAGCGTTTCTGACTGCGATAAAGAAATTGCAACTATAGAAATTACTAACTGCAACAAAAAAAATTTTTTACTAAGCTGTTGTTATCGGCCACCTGATGGCGTAAGCGAAAACTTTAGCATGTTTTTACAACAAATTAATAAAAAAGGTACCGTTGAAAAAAAGCAAAATTTTATAATTGGAGATTTAAACATGAATTGTTTTCTTTATAATGATAACCTTAAAGTTAAAAATTTTTATGATGAAATTTTTGAAACGGGTTCAATATCTTTAATAAACAAACCTACAAGAGTAACGATAAATTCAGCAACTCTAATAGATAATAACTTCAGATATTTTCAACAATGATTTAAAAGTAGGTATTTTGCGAACCGATATATCAGATCATTTCCCTATATTCCTAAAATTAGATAATACAAACTCTGAAAAAACTCTAACCGCACAAAGAGTAATTCGAAAACGCATTTATAATAAGGCTAACCTTAATTTATTCAAAAATCAACTTTCATTACTGCACTGGAATAACATAAATTTTAATGATAATGCTAACAATATCTATGAGTCTTTTTTCAAAACATTTTTTTTTGTATACGATGCTAATTTCCCAATCATTGAAAATAAAATAACTACTAAGAGCTGCAATACACCCTGGATCACTAAGGGCTTTAAAAAATCGTCCAAAATTAAACAAAAACTATATATAAATTTTTTGAAAACAAAAACACCTAAAAACGAAAAAATTTACAAGGACTACAAAATTCTATTTGAAAAAATTCGCAAAAATCTAAAAAAAATTATTACTCCCAATTACTCAATACATTTAAAAATGACACAAAACGCACATGGCAAATAATGAATGAAATTATTGGAAAACAAAAATCATGCTCAGGTTTTCTGCCGCAAATGGTTAGAGTCGATAACAAAAGTTTATGCGAACCAAGAACTATAGCTCAAGAATTTAACAAATTTTTTATCGATATAGGTCCAACACTTTCTAAAAAAATCCCAAAGACCAAATCTTTATTTACTGATTTTCTAGTACCCAATGATAATTGCATTGGTTCAGTTGAGTTGTCTTCTGAATTATTGTTTGAAGAGTTTGAAAGAGCCTTCAAATCCTTAAAAAAAAATAAAGCAATTGGAGCAGATCAAATAAATGGAAACGTTATTATAGATTGTTTTGAACAGCTAAAAGTTGTTCTTTTTAAAGTTTTTAAAGCTTCTATCCATCAAGGTGTTTTCCCCGAACTGTTAAAAATTGCCAAAATTATTCCTATTTTTAAAGAAGGGGACAAATCAATTATTAGTAACTATCGCCCTATTTCTGTTCTTTTCACATTTTCAAAAATTTTAGAAAGAATTATATATAACAGAGTATACAAATATTTTCATGTTAATAAATTACTTAACATTAATCAATTCGGTTTTAAAAAGGAAAGCTCAACTGAACATGCAATTATCCAATTTGTACGTGAAATCTTAAAATCATTTGAAAAATCACAATATACTCTAGGAATTTTTATTGATCTATCAAAAGCTTTTGATACGGTTGATCACCAAATTCTAATCTATAAACTTAAACACTATGGAATAAAAAATAAAGTTTTAAAATGGTTTGAAAGCTATTTGTCAAATCGTAAACAATTTGTTCCGAGTAATGACGGTTATCATACCAATTGTCTTTCTATAACATGAGGAGTCCCACAAGGCTCAATTCTTGGTCCACTCCTTTTCCTAATTTATATTAATGATTTAAATAAAGCCTCTAAACTAACAAGTATTATGTTTGCAGATGATACTAACTTATTTCTTTCTAACAGTGATATCTTTGAACTTTTTAAAACAATGAACAAAGAGCTTATAGATGTATCGAGTTGGTTTAAATGTAATAAGTTAACTCTAAACTCTAATAAAACAAAGTGGACCTTATTCCATTCGCTTTCCAAAAAACGGTATTTGCCATTAAACTTACCTAAAATTTTTATTGATCAAAATGAAATAAAAAGGGATTCCGTAACAAAATTTTTAGGTGTTTATCTTGATGAAAACATCACTTGGAATCATCATATCGACTACATAAGCACTAAAATTTCAAAAAACATTGGAGTTTTATATAAAGCACGAATCTACCTCAATAAGAAAATTTTAATCAAACTTTATTATTCATTTATACACAGTTATTTAAATTATGCTAATATCGCCTGGTGTAGTACAGAAAAAAGTAAGTTGCAACGTCTTTATCGCAGTCAGAAACATGCTATCCGTTTAATCTGCTTTGCAAATCGCTTTTCTCACGCAAAACATTATTTTATTGAAATGAGAATTTTAAATATATATAATGTTTTATGCATTGTATACATGTGGAAAAATGACTTGTC